ATTTTTGCGAATGCATCAAAATATTCTAGATTTAGTGTCATTTAATAATTTTAAAAGGATATTTTCATGATAATTCGTAAAGTTAGGTTCTTACTAGCACTATTAACGAGGTCTTAACAAGTTTTTTTTTGAAAAAAATCTAACTTTCGTATTTTTTTTCAAAAACCTTGTTAAAACCTCGTTAAAAATGCTAGTAAGAAACTAAATTTGCAATTGATATAAAAATTTCCTCTTAGCACCCTACATTATTAATAGTTTTTACTAAATCTATAATGTTTTGATGGGGTGCTGGTCAAAATCCCGACAAATAGAATCCCGACAGGTCATAATCCCGACAAAAAAATCCCGACAGTAAAAATCCAGACAACAAAAAATTATTAAGTCATTTAAGTTAGGGTAGGGATAGGTGAGTGCATAGGTTAGGGTTAGGGCATGCGCTCAGGTTAAGGTTAGGGTTTAGGCGATTATATAGTAAAATTGCTCAAATGACCACTTTTTTGATTGTCGGGATTTGTCGGGATTTTTGGTTGTCGGGATTTTTTTGTCGGGATTATGACCTGTCGGGATTTTGTTTGTCGTGATTTTGACCCAAACCAGTTTTGATGCTTTCGCAAAAATGCAAGATTTTAGCAAAGTATATATTTACTATAAAATTTTTTTACGTAAAAGTATAGTAAAATAGTAGTAACATGGTAGTAACGTAGTAGTCAGCAGTAGTAGGCGTATAGTAAATGTATAACTATAACGGCTACAAAGTAACTATATAGTTACTTTTTTGTTATTATATGATTATTTTAAAGTAGTTTTAAAGCTGCTAATTTGCAAGTTCTGCATAGAACATCTTTGCTAAATTCTTACATTTTTGCGAAAGCAACAAAATATTCTAGATTTAGTATCATTTAATAATATAAAAAGGAAATTTCCATAATAATTCGTAAATTTAGGTTCTTACTAGCACTATTAACAAGGTTTTAACAAGGATTTTTGAAAAAATTCTAATTTTTCGTATTTTTTTTCAAACCATCTTTTTAAAACCTCGTCAAAACCTCTTTAAAATTGCTAGTAAGAAACTGAATTTGTGATACTATAAAATTTTCCTATTGCGACCTATATTATTAATAATTTTTACTAGATATAGAATATTTTGTTGCTTCCGCAAATATGTAAAATTTTAGCAAAGATGTTTTGATGAATTTTATTGATTGTATTATTCTATAATTTATTTATAATATAGATTATTGAGTAGATAATCATACTGAGCTTAGTATGTTGTATAGACTCTAGTGTAAATCTGATAACTAAAAAAAATTAATTAAAAATTATTACCTTTTTAAATTTCTATAATTATATATTAAAATAAAAAAAAAAACTTTTTTAAGTAAACTTTTTTAAAATTTTTTATAAAAAAAAAATTATAGCAAGTCAAATTTCGCTTTTATTAAAACATTGCTTTAATTTTACCTCTAATTATAACCACTTTACTAGCTTTAAAAATTTTATATCAATATAAAATTTATTTGAATCAAATGAAAATATACAATCATAACTTTTACTTTAATTTAAGTATTGATATTTATGAACTTAAACCTTATTCTAGAAATTGATAAAATCAAAAAGAACAATTTTTGAATGTAATTTTTTAAGGTCAAAATTTTGCAATAATTTATTGTGAAGGTTAGAATCAAGGTCAGAATTTTGTGCAATTTCCCAGCTAATAACCTAATCTCAAAATTTTTCCTTTATCATATTTAAATTGTCAAATCATTCTCATAATCATCAGAACTAAAAATGATATTTCGCAATAGCATTACAGAATCGTTGTAAATGTCATTTTCCAAATTTATTGACAGCTTATGCTGAGATTGGCATTTGCTGAGATTTTGATCTACTTTGTTATGAAATTGCAAAAATTTTTAAGTCGTTTTTTATGGTCTTTTTTTTAGTAATTAGGGTCTGTATTATTAATAAAGAATATATGTGGATTTTAATAGCATTATAACAATTGGAGCTAAAATCTCAGCACATGCTGCCACAATAATTTCAAAGATAGTAATAAAATATGCGATGTACTGCATCTATTTGATCATCTTCACGAAATTAGAACATAAAATTTTTAAAATAATTGAATGTACTATAAATATTTGATGATTGACGTTGACCAACTTCAATTAATACTTTATAATCTTTTTCGTTTTCAAGAATATTCGTTCATTTGCCAGAAAATTTTTAAAAATTTTACTATAACCATTATGACAAAAGAGTCAAGATAAAATTTGAAAGAATGAAACTAACAAAAATGTTATAAGTGCTGACATTAACGCATATTCTTTAATATCTTTCGCTATGCCCAGGCATGAAAGGGCTGCTTCTGTCCAAAACATTTCGTCTAGTATTTTGGTTTCCCCCGCCCTCAACATGGGTTTAAACTTGCCACGAGTTTGTATTCCTTTACCAACTAATTTATCAAGACTTGGATAAAAATAATATGGAAATGGTATTTCCTTTGGCGCGGAAATAGCATCTAACCTTGCCATTTGTTCAGGTGTTAATCTATTCATTAATTAATTTAAACGGTAAGTAAAAGTTTAATTGATACAAAAATAATAAAATTTTATAAAAATTTACTTGAATTCAAGAGCTTTAGGGTTTTCAACTAATTGAGCTTTTGTTCTAGCACCGATAAGAGAAGTAATACCAGGTTTTTGTGATATCCAATTCAAAGCGACCTTTTAATTTAAATAAAAAGAATAAAATAAACGAATTACAAAAATTTAAGTGATTATAAACTATTTAAACCATTAAATTACCTGAACAGAGTTTCTCTTAGTTTCAGCAGCAATAGCTTTAACTTCATCAAGTATTTTCCAATTTTGTTCATTTTTTCCGCTAAATTCATAATTGAGTAATTGCGACCTTCTCCCCTTTTTGAATTGGCTACTGATTCTTTGGTGTATTTTCCAGTCAAGAATCTAGGCAAAAATAATATTATTATTATGTAAATCAGAACATGCCTACTCGTGCATAATAACACAAAGCATCAGAGAAATAATTTAGCAATGATTATCCTTCAGCAGCACATCCCCAAGGAATAATTCCAACCTTTATGGTAAAAATTAACATGTTAATTATGATATCGTCGTCGATTTTGAATACCAAATTCAAATTCAACGATCATATTCTTTAAGAGTAAATAATAACAAACATTAAAACATATTTACGCACATCAAATTCAGCGCAAGCAGATTGTAAATCATATTCCAAAGATCTTTCTAATAGATTATATCGAGTTTGCAATCCAATAAATCGACTTAAATAAATTAACAAATTTGTTACTTTTTATCACTAAAACGTGTAAGATATATATTATTATATCATGGCATTACCTCCAACCACGTAAATCAGCCATCTTATTTGTGCAACTAATCACCCATGCTGGTGTATTACTAATTGCAATATAGAGTACCTGTAGGAATTTGTATTAAATGTTAATAATCATTATATAAATCAATACTAAGTATTAGATATTAAATGACATGCTTTGCCACTTCTAACAACATCATCTAAAGAACGCATTACTTCTTCAATAGGAGTGCGAAATTCCCAAGAATGAACATACATAATGTCAATATATCCTGTGCCCAATTGTTTAAGACTTTCATCAAGATTTTCGACAAGAGATTTGCGGTGATTTCCACATTTAAGAAACCTTTTTTCAGAATTCATCAAATCAACAAATCAAATCAATATCATGAAATGAGTAATAAAATTACCAGCGTTTGGATTATGTTTGACATTTGGCAAAAAAGAGGTGGTATTCACTTTATAAAGTTATGAGTAAAAAGTAAATATACATCATACGGTAATAAGGAATTTTTATAGTGAAGCGAATAAGCAGATTAACCTACTAGTATATTTATTGGCGAGTACAACATTGGAGCGTTATTAGCGATATATTCTTTAAAAATTGCTCGTTCTTTTCGTTATTTAAAAAAATTAGTATATAGCATATACTAGATAATATCATAATAGAATCAGTTCCTGTCATTACCTCACCAAAATTGTATGTGTTAGCAGTATCTAAAATAGCAAACATCTTGTGAGTTTAATATCATTATACAGTACAACGCGTTACATACATTAAAATTGGTTGTTGATCGGTCCTGAAATAATTGTAAATCGACTTTAAGATTTGTAAAATATAGGCTTATTACTGATCTGAGTCAATTTGAAAATTTTAGAAAGTTATAGCTCTTCAATAATTATAATTTGTCGGGGATGATCCTGAAATTTAATATGAAATTTTAAAAATTTTTTGGGGTGTTTTTTCTAGATTTTTTTTTTTTGAGTTAGATTAGGATTTAGGGTTAGGGTTTATAATTAAAGAGTATAGGTGGGTTTTAGTAGAATTTATATTTTTAAAT